TATTTATATTATTATTTATATCATTATTTATATTATTATTTGTATCATATTTATATTATTATTTATATTATTATTTACAAATAATATATAGATCATTTATTTATGTTACATTAGATAATTTATATTTATATTAGATTACAAGACAAGCGAATAAGTAAACAACTAAGTGAGCAAATAAGCAATTTTCTTGTGAATATTATTGGTAATTTTAATTTAACAATTTTTATATAAAAAAAGCATGCATTTTAGCTTAGAAAAATCAGTTATTCAATCAACTCGAATAATAATGGCTCAAAAATAAACTTCTTTGATAATAATGCTCTTTTGAAAATAATATATTTATTATGTTAAAATATTTCTTTTATTATTTCATTATTCAAGTTTTATATTAGTTTTGTTATAACCTCTCACATATTTGTGTTATTATGTTAATAACTTCTTATATATTATAATGTTATGTTAATGATCTCTTACATGTTTATAATATCATATTTATAATTTGGATCTCTCATACATTATGATATCATATTATTGAAATGATTTAATAAACTGAATTTATAATATTTTACTTGTCTATAAACTATTGTCGTAATTATTATATTAAATACACATTAATTTATAAGAAGATTTCTTAAGTCACTTTTTAGCTGACTAGTAATTTAATGAATACACGTCACCATCTTTAGTTATTTATCTTATCTCTTCCACCTGACTTGAAACATGTGTTGAACATGTAAAAAGATATAATATATTTGAAATTCAAGTAAAATGATGACAATATTAAATATTTTTATTTTAGTATAAAAATAAATTTATTATCAATAAGTTTTTTTCTTTATATAAAAGTTTTCAATTTTACTAATAAATATTTTTTAGATTAAATCTAAAAAATACATGTTAAAATATGTAATATTATCTTCATTTTAAAAAATTTTTATTAGTAAAATTGAAAACTTTTATATAAAGAGAAAAACTTATTGATAATAAATTTAATTAATAAATTTTGACGTCATTGCATTATTTCTGATTGCCACTATAAAATGCTTGATAAAATAAAATTTGCAATTTTATTGTTTTAATAATAAATTTTTAAAGAGCTGTATTAAACTTTTGTAAGTTACTGTATATTATACAATATAAACAAGTATTTGGTTATTTTTGATTAGGAAATCTATACGTATATATTTTATTTTTTTTCAAATTATATTTTTTATTAAATATATTATCAAATTTAAAGATAGCGAAAATAGTATTTTCTCATTCAAAAAAATATTTACCCGTCATTTCACTAGAACCCACATATTTTCTCTCATTGACCGTTTCCAACTACCGCACCAATCTAATTAAAAAAATATTAAAGGAGCAATCAAACGAGCACGTTGAAAAGTAATTCGGAATATTTTTTAAATTAATTACATTGCTATTTTTAGAGGATGGAAATATTCATAATGATTAAATAATAATCCCACTTACTATTTTTCTCAGAATCACCGAAATATGAAGCATAAAGTCGTGTGCCAGAGTGAAAAAAAAGTTGCACTAGAAGTTGAAGTCAGAGACATCCTGGAGGATCATGAAGGTTTAAGTCCTGGAAATTTTACGACGCTTAATTGGTCATTCGATTGCCTGTTTTAATTCTGACGGTGAAAAAGATTTTTAGTATGACGATATCGAAATTTGATTATTCTTGTTTATTTTACCTTTTTACATCTTCTAGGCCTCAAAAATTTTTCCAGGAAATCCACGTTCCATTGCCATCTTGAAAATTATTAATTTTGTGAATCTTTAATGTATGATTTAGTTAATTAGTAGCGCTAATTTATTTTTTGAATTACTTATATATTATAAACACACTTTAACCATAAGCATCATCACCTTTCATCATGAATTGTACATCCTTCACACACTATAAGATTGATCGAAAGTCTCTAACAATGAAAATATATCTTGGTACATTAAATGGTCTTTTAAATCACAATAAATAATACAAACAGTCACTCTCTCTAAATGCAACCTCTTTTAAATGAATTTTATAGTACCAGTTCCAAGAGTACGTATCGGTATATGTATTAAGAGAAATGTAACTACATACAGTTATGATTTTCTTGATGCATACACTTGGAACCGGCACTAAAAAATTTAAAAGAAATTGTATTTGGAGAGAGTTGACTGAATAATAAATTTTCATTAATAATATACATCCACTTGAACTTCATCATTGTATCTTCTCACTAATCTATCGTTTTTTAATCTCATCGTTTTCTTTATCTTCCAAAGGAAGAATTAATATCGACTGAGACTATTATTTTACTATGTATTTACAAAAATTTTACATTTACTATTGTCGCTCTTGCATTACACCATTGTCTTAGATTTGGCCAAGCTTTACAAAAATTAAAATAATTAATCATCATCGAATTTGACTAAAAATCTTTTAGAATAATTATTGCTTTTCTTACATCATGATTATTTCTATTGACTGAAAATCTTTAGTTTTTCTTGCATCATGATTATTTCTATTTTCCTCTTGATCATCTTAATCTTGTAGCTTAAACACCTGACTGGATACAGAACCCAAGGTTGAGTAAGAGCGGAATTTTGCAGATCCGTTATACGTTATAGGGTGGGTGATCAACAGTAAATTATTAGAATTGAAAATTCCTAGCTATAGTTTCTTCCACATCTACTTGTCAACTAATCTAACTACACAGTAAATCTCTCTAAGCCGGAGGTTTTAATGCGAGTACTTTATCACGACTGATAAAGAATAACGTTTTAGAGAGGAAATCTCTATTAGTCAACGATTATTAGTTCCTGCAGAGAAATCCCGACTTAGACCCAAAACCTTTTTAGGGAGGTCTCGACTTACTGTGTGCTAACAATATTAACTTTTTTACAGTATTTAGAGGGTAAGAAGTTCTTTAGTCAGGAAGCAATCTTTTATCACTTACCTGAATCATTTTCTAACTTCTAATAACTAATGCAACATCGGAATGTTAAACAAATCTTATACTACGAGCTATCAGGTATTACGTTCGTCATCTAGACTTTCTGTGAGAGTTTTTGATACTGAATTTCCAGCAATCTGTCACGGCGTCCGGAAGTTGTGTTAGTGATTGGGATCAACAAATAGTAAGTAACATCGATATTCGATATGTATTTTAAAACCCAAAGATCAACGTAGTTTATCATCGATTTTTGCGCCGCGCAAATATTTTTTGCCATCGATTACGCGAATATTTTGCGATCGTGATAGAAAAAGTCGAAGTGGAAGAAAACGGATAAATCATAACTGCTAGAACCAGATTCGATTCCAAAATCAATATCTTTTTTGTGTTGCATATTATCATGTTGAAATATTCGCGAAACCGAACGGTTATGATTTATAACATATCGACTATTTGTATGTTATATCCAGATCACCGACCCAACTTTCCGGACATCGTGACATTTACGATACGGTAAGTTTTAATACTATAATCTATACTACCATACTTTATTACTATCCATACAATTATTTATATTACCAGTTACAACAATAATCACGTTAAATATCATTATCGATGATATTACGGAGAAGTCGAGACCACTCCAAAAAGAATTCTGTTCTAAAAATCGATCAACTGGTAGTTTCTATAATCATTAGAATGGATTTGATGGGTTGTCTACAATGAATTTTAATTGTTTTTTGTGGATATAGATGGTATATATAATATTTTTTTTATAAAAAACAAGTTGTTCTTTATTTTTATCATATATTTAAAATATTTACGAAAAAACTAAAACGATCACTCGGTTTTGATTATTCAAAGAAGCAAAGTTTGCGTATTATGTGGGTAGGTGGTGTATTTGTTTGCCCAGATAAGGTATGTAGAAAATAAAAATAAAAATATAATCTTCTTTAAGGCAGAGTTGTGGATGCCTTTCGCAGGTTTCCTGTTTTCGAACAAGCGATGTGTGAAGACATCGATAAGACTCTAAAAAGTCTAGCTATTGGAAACGAATTCGTATTCTGATAGCGTAAAAAGCAAGTGTGTATTTTTGTGCGCTATGCGTATATATATTATTACCAAATAGATTTGCGATCAGTGGATTGTAGGACGACTCAATGTCCATCTATCTAAAATCGCATATAATGGTAGATTTGATCAAAATTGATCTTTTGGTCAATCTTGCCGTAGGAAAATGAAGACGTTCAAATAAGAAAATATGCACAGATGTGGCATATATATGTATATATATATGTACATATATATATATATGTGTTCGCATTATTGGCATTCGCACAAAACTATGCTCAGATTAAATGTAGCAAGTTTGTGTAAAAAAATAAACAAAGTCAATCTTCTCATCGCGAGAAGATTTGATGAGGAACGAAGCGATCATAAGATCTCAAGTTCCGATGTAAAATTGCTACCTGGTTGATCCTGCCAGTAGTCATATGCTTGTCTCAAAGATTAAGCCATGCAAGTCTAAGTATAAACAAGTATACTGTGAAACTGCGAATGGCTCATTAAATCAGTTATAGTTTATTTGATAGTGCCTTACTACTTGGATAAC